AAAAAAAAAAAAAAAAAAAATGCTATTATCTGACTGAAGAAAGACGACATACTTGTACATACACAGACAGTTATCAGGAAGGAAATAAAGAGGCTGCCACTAGGGATGGGAACTAGGTGACTGAGAATAAAGAGTAGGGGAGAGACTTTTTTTTCTTTCTTTTCTTTCTTTTGAGACAGAGTCTCTTTCTGTCACGCAGGCTGGAGTGCAATGGCGTGATCTCGGCTCACTGCAACCTCCGGCTCCCGGGTTCAAGAAATTCTCCTGCTTCAGCCTCCCAGAGATTTGTTATTCATTGTATATTTTTGTGCATTTTGAGTTTTATACCAAGTATATGAATTACATATTCAAAAATAAAAATTTTTAAAAAAGGATCATAAAGGCTGAAAAACACTGCTCTAGAAATATCAACCATTTTACAAGGATGCCCACCATGTAAATGTACCTGACTAGTTTAAATGTGCATTTTAGTTGCTAGGTAGGCTGTGTAATTGTCTTTGAGATGACAAACTTAATTTTCTTAAATATAAAATTAACGATTTCCCTACTATGACGACCTGTAGAAAATGGGTGCTAATCTTACATTTGTATCAATTATTCATCTATTGATAGTAGCTTTTATTATCACATTTCCCGTCTCTATCTTCCTCTTGATGGTTATTATATTTCAACATGATAATGTTTGTATTATTAATGTTTTAACTCTTCTAACTAGAAATTTGTACTAAATGTTTAATTCTTGGAGTTGATCTATTAGAGTATTTCTATCTCTGTTACTTTAGATCTTCCAATTCCTTTATCTTTGTTTCATTTTATTTCTCTCATTAGAAATTTTTTGTTTTCCTTGAACAAATCAAATATACCACATTAAATTAATTCTCAGCTAGTTAATGAGAGCTTTTGGTCACTTCCATGAATAAAATCTTCCGTTAAAATTTTTTAAATTACATAAACAATAATAACATATTCCTGGTATTTAAATTTTTTAAATAAAGACATACAGAATGCATAAAGTGAAAGCTCCTGACATTCCTCTTCCCCAATTTTATTTCTCCTTCCCTAAAGGTAATCACTATTATCTGCCTTTCATTTTGTATTTTACATACACACATGTAAACACAGATACACACACACACACACACTGCCTAAATAAATGGTTTAATAATTTTTTACATATAAATAAATGGGATAATGCACTACATACATACTGTTCTACAATTTGCTTTTCTCCCCCACTGACAAACATATTTTGAAAATCTTTCAGGTCTTTATATGCACATTTATCTGACTGGGGTTTTTTTGTTTTGTCTGGTTTGAGACAGAGTCTCATTCTGTCACCCAGGCTAGAGTGCAGTGGCGTGACCTTGGCTAACTGCAACCTCCCCCTCCCTGGTTCAAGTGATCCTCCAGCCTCAACCTCCCAAGTAGCTGGGATTATAGGTGCTCACCACCACACGGAGCTAATTTTTATATTTTTAGGAGAGACAGGGTTTCACCAGGCTGGCTAAGCTAGTCTCAAATTCCTGGCCTCAAATGATCTACCTGCCTCAGCTACCCAGAGTCCTGGGATTATAGGCATGAGCCACCTCACCCAGCCTGTTTTGTTTTTTTGAGACGGAGTCTTGCTGTGTTGCCTGGGATGGAGTTCAGTGGCACTATCTTGGCTCACTGCAACCTCCGCCTTCCAGGTTCAAGTGATTCTCCAGCCTCAGCCTCCCGAGTAGCTGAGATTACAGGTGTGGGCCACCACCCCTGGCTTTTTTTTTTTTTTTTTTTTTTTTTGGTATTTTTAGTAGACATGGGGTTTCACTATGTTGCCCAGGCTGGTCTCAAACTCCTGAGCTCAATCTCCCCCCCTCAGCCTCCCAGGGTGCTGGGATCACAGCCACGAGCCACCGCACCCAGCCTAACTTGTCGTTTTTAAGAGCTTTACTACAGTCTATATTTTTGTGCCATAATTTACATAATCAGTGTTCTACTGATGGTTATTTGGATTGTAAAATCTAAAAATATTTTTCCAGAATATGTCAAAATTAGAAACACAGAGTCAAAGGGAATGTATTTTAAAGTGTCAACAGATACTGTTAACATTGCCCTTCAAACATGCTGCATCAATTTATATTCCATCCCCAGTGCCCATTTCTTCAAAGTCTCACCAATCTACATATCCGTCATCCAATCTGATGGGTGAAATATCTCTCTCTCTCGTTTTAATTTGCATTTTCCTGATTACTTGTGAAGTTAAACATCCTTTCCCATACTTGTTACTGTGTATAGTTATTTTATAAATAACATACGTATTTTTTGCTAATTTTTCTGTTAGGATTTGGTCTTTTTCTATTAATTGGTTCATAAGAATATAATTGATTTTTGAAATTTTTTGTTTAATTTCCTTGGGTTAGACAGCTCAATAGTCAAGTCATAGAAACTTAGAAACATTTTTCATTTCCTATTTCTTATCTTTTTACATACAATCTCTTTTTCTTTCTTTTCTTTCTTTCTTTTTTTTTTTTTTTTAGTTGCTGTCACCCAAGTTGGAGTGCAATGGCACGATCTCCGCTCACTGCAATTTCTGCCTCCCTGGTTAAAACAACTCTGTCTCAGCCTCCCCAGTAGCTGGGATTACAGGCACCCACCATCATGTCCAGCTTATTTTTGTATTTTTAGTAGAGACAGAGTTTCACCATGTTGGCCAGGCTGGTCTTGAACAAGTGATCCACCCACCTTGGCCTCCCAAAGTGCTGTGTGGGATTATAGGCGTAAGCTACTGCAACCGGCCCTTTCACCTCTAATTTCTAATTGCTATTAGCTGCATCACTAATATTAGGTTTGAGTCATCTGTGTAATACTACTGAAGCTTCTTATTCTAGAGACTAAAAATAAAACAATTACTAAAAAGAATGTAATTTTAAAATTTAAACTTTGTTTCGCTTTTCAACAAAAGTGAAGTATTATAGTGCCTAGTTAATGTGGACTACTGGCCTAGGTTTTTGAGATTTTTTTTGGTGGGGGGATTCTTTAGGACAGGGACTCCCTATTCCCCAGGCTGGTCTCAAAGTTATGGCCTCAAGTGATCCTCCCAGTTCAGCCTCCCAAATTGCTGGGATTACAGGAATGAGCCACGGTGCTTGGTTATGGCTTAGGTGTGATCACTCACTCTACCACTTAGTAGTTATAGTGCTTAAACAAGTTACTTAAACTAACTCTCAGTTTCTTTATTCATAAAGTAAGAATTTAATATCTTCATAGTCTCCTGTGAGGATTAAGAGATCATCCTCCTAAAGCACTTGGCACAAGCACTCTCCACAAAGTGCTCAATAAACGTTACCAATTTTACTGTTACAGCTACCAAGAGACAGCTATATGAGAGTTGCATAGATTGGCACTACTAAAAAAAACCAAAATTTTGGTCAGCATGGAAAATGACTTGTGATATCCTTCCTTCGTATATGCTCTCTATGTAGTAAATATTAAAAATGGAATGGTTTTCAAGAAACCTAAAAAATTCAGTCTCTACACGGCAAAGTGCTGTATCAGTTTTGCTCCTAAATCAGCCTCCTCAACACACAGAAGTAATCACAATTACACACTATACTTACGATTTTTATGGCCTAGTGTCATAATTCTATCCATATCATCAGCATTATTTACCACATAAGCTGATAAATCTTTGATATAAACTCCCACATCAGGTCTTTCTTTAACCTAAAAAAAAAAATTAGGACTTTACACTACATCAGTAACTCTTAGACAATTATTTATTGAGCATCTCCTGTGTGTTCGATGCTCTACCAGACAGAAGGGATATAGTGATGAATAAGATAGACACTGTTCTTACACACATGGAGATGTCAGTCTATAGGAAGAACATACAAATGAATAATTACACACAAAAATTATTTTATTTCAACTGTGATGACATGAAGAAAAATAGAGAACACTAAGCTAATGAAGGAGATAGAATAAAATTCCCCAAGATGTTCAAGCTAAAATTAAAAAAAAAAAAAAAAAAGCAGGTAGAAAGTTGAGGTAGAAGAAAATGTTGAAGAATTCTGAAATAAGAAAAAACTAGGCACTTACAAAAAATAACAAACCAAAAAAGACAGTGTGGCTGGAGAGAACAGGAAACGGAAAAATAGGTGAGACATCTGGTTATACAGGAAGGCAGAGACAAGTTGAGACTAGTTTTTGGTCTTTATGGTAAGAATAATTTGGAGAATTTCAAGCAACTGAGGGAAATAATCATATCTATGGTATCAACATTAAAATATGATCTTTCTGTGAATTACCTTATGAGAATTTTTAACCAAATTTGAAGAATGTATTTAGGATGGATTTACCTAAAATACAAGTGGTGTTGTATAAACAAAATTCACTTTGGAAGGCTCAGAGTCACTTCTACAAACCAACAGAATAAAAAGTGAAACTGAGGCAGAGGCCTATGGCTGCCAGTGTTAAAAGCCATTCCACAGGTAGGAGACCTCATAGACATCGAAGACAAACAAAAATTTGATAAACAATTCCAGGGGAAAAAAGTTATAAGGATACACACTCAACATTCCAGTTATTTTCAATGTTGTGTGTGTGTGTGTGTGTGTGTGTGTGTACCTTTTATAACAACTTGTAAAATAAATTTACAAAATAGGAAAAATCCTTTATCTGTCATGGGATATAAATTAAGTCCCAATTTTATTAATAATAGAAAAAAGTGTGATAATCTCTATAAACCAGTGGATTTCAGATCTTGCTCTGAAAAGCCCTAGAGGGTCCTCGGTGGCACTGGGGGGGCCACTGTGGGAGTTTTTGGGTCTTCAGGCCCAGAGAAGTTCTAAAGAGATGGGCACTTCCATGAATTTTACACATTCAGCTCCCATACAAGGTTTGGTTTGATGGAAGTATTTAACACTTTATACCTTTTAAAAGGTTTGAAAATTACTGGTCTATATCAATGCTTCTCAAAAAAATCTGTGATAAATGATAGGTATATTTCTAATATGATAATTTTGGAAAATACAAAAATTATGCACTTGGATTCCATGGCAATGTCAAATTGCTATGCAAGTTTTTAAGCACTTACTCTCAGTTTTTGTTCATTCTCACTGCAGATTGAAAACGAACATTCTTCAAACCGACATCTGTCTGCAAACTAGTGGTATTTTCCAATCACAATATGATATTAATTCAAAATTCGATTAGTAAGTATATTCAATTAATAACTGATTAGACATGAAAGATGAAGAAAGAAAATATAATCCCAAATTTGTAAAAGTTAAAAAACTGGAAGGAAATGCTACCAAAGAATTTTTATCATAAAAAAACAGGAATTCAGGCCAGGCGCGGTGGCTCACGCCTGTAATCCCAGCACTTTGGGAGGCCAAGGCGGGCGGATCACGAGGTCAAGAGATCGAGACCATCCTGGCCAACATGGTGAAACCCCGCCTCTAATAAAAATACAAAAATTAGCTGGGTGTGGTGGCGCATGCCTGTAATCCCAGCTACTTGGGAGGCTGAGGCAGGAGAATTGCTTGAACCCAGGAGGCAGACGTTGCAGTGAGCCGAGATCACGCCACTGCACTCCAGTCCGGCGCCTGGCGACAGAGTGATACTCTGTCTCAAAAAGAAAAAAAAAAGGAATTCAATATCTATGACAAACACAATTTATAACAATGGATCTCAATGGAAGCAGTTACCCCCTTGCCCTAGAATGTTTTAGAAATTTTCAGAAGAGTTTCTGGTTCACTTCAGGACAGTGTAGTATTGACAGGCAGGGGCCAGGGATACTAAACATTCTGAAATAGGTGGGACAGTCTCACCCAATGAAGAACTGTGCCATACAATTCTGAATGTCCTAACAGATATTCACATGGTAAAAATCTACTAATAATTATCTAAGTCTAGATCCACATAATTATATCTAAGTGGGTCATATGTAACTTTATTTCACACATAAAGACAAAGTGCTTTTCCATATAGCAATAATATGAGAATACAGAAAAGCTGAGGAAAGAATTATACTTTATTTTGCTCCAAATTCTACCAAGAGCTAGTCATTATTTTTAAAAAACCATGTCATTGACAGTAACACCAATCAAGGGGTTTAGATCAACAACACAACATACCTGTTGACACTGTGCATTTGTAGCTGTTACAATTTTGATGATTCTATATGCCTCTATTTTATTATATCATCAAGTGTGGTCACATCTAAGCATTTACATACCAAAATACTAGCATTTATTTTTAATTACTTGTATTCTCCTTTATATTATAGTAGGGTAGTACATGAATTTTTAAAAATATGTGTAGAGGTAGTTTAATATTATTTATGAATTTTATTTCAGGACAGTCAAAAGAGCATTAAAAAATATATGTTATTGGAAAAGGAGCACTGGGTCTAACAGAGTTGAGAACCATTGACAAGAATGTTCCGGAGAATAAATCTGATCTGTAATTACTGGTACAAAAATGGAAATATCCTTTTCAAATGATTTATTTCTAGAATTTGCATAAGACAACAAATTTTTAGGACATAGAAGCACAGAATTTAATAAAATATTCATCAGAACTAAAGTTGAAAATTAGCAATAAAGAAGTTTGTTTCTACATTTGCTATATAAATGGTATCACAGAATAAGGCTTCATGAAGGTCCAACAAGCACAAACAAGCACAAACAATACTTAACACTGTAATACATTATTCCAAAAACTGTTTATGCAGTAAACTTAAAAGGAAAAAAAAAAAGCTAACATTTATTGGTTATTTTATGTCAGGCACTGATTTAAACACTCTAATCTGTTACTACTGGTAATTATCCTATGAAGTAGACACCATTACTTCCATTTTTATGACCAAACCAAGGCTCATAGAGATTAAGTAACCTGATCAGAGCCAGATTTCAATCTAAGATGGTAGACTGATAGAACCACCTTCTTAATTCTAGATAATACTGCCATTCACTTGCTATGTGACCTTGAGCAAGTCAAGAAACCCCTCTAAATTTCAGTTTCCACATCAGTAAAATCAAACTGCTGGGAAGAGTAAATGAAATAAACAATTTACTACTATCAATAACCAACAATTACTGCACTGAATGCCTACATCGCATTTCAAGAGCTCGGTAATGCTGGCTACTTGTTCTACACATACTCTATATCATTCTACAATGCTGGCTACTACTCTTCTGTATATTATTCCACTGTTAACTCTACCTGCATTATTCTCCTCTATTTTACTGGTGATACGATCCAACTAAAATTCCAATATTAACATTTTCTTGCTGTATGTCTCACACCTTAAAATATGACAGTATGTGGCAATATCAAATTTACCAATCATTTACCATTTGACTCAGCAATCCTGCTTCAGTATTTTATCCCCAGATATGTCTGCAGATGTATGACATTATGTATGTATGAGGTTATTTAAAATATCAAAAGCATCTTTTGTTTAAAAAAAAGGCAGGGGGGAACCTTAATTTAGTAAACATTCTACTGCTTTGGAAAAAATACTCCTCCAAATTTCAATTATCCTTACCTCTAACCTTTGTGTCTGATCCTTTCCCAAAAGGTCACGAACTTCTTCATTATATATTTCCAAATAAGACACTCGAACCAAAAACCTATAAATAAAACATCATTTTTAAAAAGTCAGAGTGAAATATTTATAAGAACAATTTTAAAACATGTTTATATAATTTATACCTAAGTGCCTTTCCTGTGTTTGTACTTCTCAATATTAGAAAATAAAAGAATTATTTTACCTTGTATCACCCTCTGCTTTTGCAATATGACCAAATATGTGAGCAAATGAATTGGGAATTATTCCTCTAAGTTCAGGAACAGCTCGAACACCTTCCATGGTAAAAGTTTTGCCTGTTCCAGTTTGTCCATATGCAAAAATAGTCCCTGAAAATGATGACAAGAATTAGTTACTTCTTATGCTACAGAACAATAGCTCTTAATTCCTTTGAAACTGTGATGTCAAAAAAAAAAAAAGAAGAAGAAAGAAAGAAGAAAAGAAAAGAAAAGAAAAGAAAAGAAAAGAAAAGAAAGAAACTGTGATGTAATTTCTTCCCTGGATTCAAAATTTATTCTAGCACAAGTTTCACCTTTATTATCAACAATTACAATAGGTACTCTGTACCACAGGCACAAAGCACTGTTACAGCACCAATGAGAGATATCCCTAATAATTAATAAAAAGCATCCCAAGCCCTAAATGCAAAAATCGTACAATATATCTAATTATGAGACATTTCTTATCATGTGTACATGAGGTACTTATTGTGGACATTAAACTGGAGACGGTAGTATAAGCACAACAAAAGAATACAGGCTCTAGAGCAGAAAGACCTTAGTCTCAAACCACATCTGCCAATGGCAAAATGGGGTAAGAATTACAACTCGCCATTGACAGTAAGAACGAAATCAGGCAATTTTCCTCAAGTGACAAATATGACATCTCATAGAAAGTATCAGTAAAATGATAGCTTTTTTCTTTTTTTTCTTTTTTTTTTTTTTTTTTTTCCTTTTTTGAGATGGAGTCTCGCTCTGTCACCAGGCTAGAGTACAGTGGCACAATCTCGGCTCACTGTGACCTCCGCCTCCCAGATTCAAGTGATTCTCCTGCCTCAGCCTCCCGAGTAACTGGGACTACAGGCGCACGCCACTACACCTGGCTAATTTGTGTATTTTTAGTAAAGACAGGGTTTCACTATTTTGGCCAGGATGGTCTGGATCTCTTGACCTTGAGATTCACCCACCTTGGCTTCCCAAAGTGCTGAGATTATAGGCGTGAGCCACTGCTCCCGGCCAATAGCTTTTTTCTTAGTCCTAAAATAAGTGTGTACAGTTAACAAAAAGATGACAATACAATTATTACAGGTAATTACAGATACAATCTAAATTTTCTAAATACCTAAATTCATTCATTCAACAAATCTGAGTCTGGTATTGTGCTAGGCACGAGACACAGAGTGACAAGACAAACACAATCCTTAATTTTATGATGTGTGTAATCTTGGGGAGGAGATACTGATGGAACAATTATAATCATGATGAGTACTGAAAATAAGAAACAGAGTTCTAGATGGGAGTAAGGGACATAAATTAGGCAGAGAAATTGTAGTGGGATAAAAGGAGAGGGAGTCAGGGAGGACTTTCCAAAAGAGGTAAGGTTTAGATAGGAACAGCATGGACAGCAAGAAGCAGGAAAAAGAATGGAAATTTTGAGGACTGAAATGAGACCAGAATGGAATAAACAGACATGGAAAGGGAAGGTAGATGCAGGCAGAGCTACTAGAGAAATTGGCAATGCCCTAATCACACTGTGTCATACGGACCATATTAAAGTTTTTAGACCTTATCTTAAAAGCAACATGAAGCCACAGAATAATTTTTCAATCAGAGGAGTGACATCATGATCACTATGGCTATATTGTGGACCAAGAACTGGAGAAAAGCAAGGGTAGATGTGAAGAAAACAGTTAGAGGGCTGGAGGAGTTGACCAGGACAGTGTGCAGTAAGAGAAGACAGCCTTGGATGTGATGGCATATATGAAAATGGTTCAACTATTACTACACTATTCAGTTAACCTCAACTTTTCTTAGGCTTTTTTTGTGAAAATAATCATAACACACTTTTCAGACTTTTCTGTGAAAATAAGTGATTCATATCAGAAGCCATGTTTTACACACGGGAATATAAGAGTCTCAATTTTTTCAAACTGACTAAATATCTCAAACTCTGCCAGAAGGAATATAATATTGCACTCAAGCTGAAAAATCATGAACTCATAGACTGCATTTCAGAATAGACAGTGAATTATGAAATAAAAAGCAAGCTTTATAAGGACAACAGCTATCACTTACTGATCATTTGCTATGGGCTAGGCCATTTCCTTTCATGCTTTTTTTTGTCATTGTTGTTTTTTAAAAGAGATGAGGTCTTGTCCTGTCAGTCAGGCTAGAGTTCAGTGGCATGATCATAGCTCACTGCAGCCTCAAACGCCTGGGCACAAGACATCCTTCTGCCTCAGCCTCCTGAGTAGCTGGGATTACAGGTGTACCTCCTGGCTATGTCTGCATTCTTATTTAACTTTCACCTCAATCCTAAGAAATAGGCACTATTTATTATTATTACTATTATTTGAAAATAAAAACTATGGCCAGGCACCGTGGTTCATGCCTCTAATCCCAGAACTTTGGGAGGTCAAGGAGGGTGGATCACTTGAGGTCAGGAGATCAAGACCAGCCTGGTCAACATGGTGAATGCCCACCTCTACTAAAAAATACAAAAATTACTCAGGTGTGGAGGCACACACCTGTAGTCCCAGCTACTTGGGAGGGTGAAGCACAAGAATTGCTTGAACCTGGGAAGCGAAGGCTTCCGTGAGCCGAGATTGCACAACTGCACTCCAGTCAGGGCAACAGAATGAGAGCCTGTCTCAAAAAAACAAAATAAAAATAATAAACTAAAAAATAAGAATAATAAACTATATTCTGGGCTTGGTGCCATGGCTCATGCTATAGTCCCAGCACTTTGAGGGGCTGAGGTGGGAGAATCACCAGAGCCCAGAAGTTCAAGGTCAGCCTAGGCAACACAGTAAGACCCCATCTCTGCAAAACACTTTAAAAATTACCCAGGCGCGCATAAAAGGAATAAAATAACGGCATTTGCAGCAACCTGGATGGAGCTAGAGACTACTGTTCTAAGTGAAGTAACTCGGAAATGGAAAATCAAACATTGTATATTCTCACTTATAAGTGGGAACTAAGCCTATAAGGGTGCCAAGGCACAAGAATGATACAATGGACTTTGGAGGCAGAAGGGGAAGAGTGGGAGTGGGGTGAGAGATAAAAGATTACACACTGGGTACAGTGTACACTGCTTGGGTGATGGGTGCACCAAAATCTCAGAAATCACCACTAAAGAACTTATTCATGTAACCAAACACTCACTACCTGTTCCCCAAAAACTTTTTGAAATACAAAATAAATTTCAAAAAATTAGCCAGGCATGGTGGCAGGTAACTGTAGTCTCAGCTACTGGGAAGGCTGAAGCGGAAGAATCATTTGAGTCCAAGAAGTTGAGGCTGCAGTGAGCCATGATTGTGCCACTACACTCCAGCCTGGGTGACAGGGCAAGACCTGGTCTCAAAAAAAAAAACAAAAAAAAACAAAAATAAACAAATACAACAACAAAAACAAAAACTATCTTCTGGATCATAAAACAAGTCAATAAATTTAAAAAGATTCAAGGCATACAAAGTATGTTATCTAACTAAATTGAGATTAAGTTAGAAATCAGTAACAGAAAAATCTCTAGAGAATCTAAACATATTTGGAAACTAAATAACACATTTCTAAATAACCCAGGATCAAAGAAGAAATCAGGAGGTAAAACAGTGGATACAGTATGTCAAAATCTGTGGGATGACACTAAAACAGTAATCAGCAGCAAATTATAGCATTAAACTCCCATGTTAGGAAAAAAAGTCTCAAAACAATGGCCTCAGCTTCCATCTTAAGTAGAAAGAAAAGAGGAAATTAAGCCCAAAGTAAGTAAGAGAAAAGAAACAATAAAGCAGAGCAGAAATAGATGAAATAGGAAACATAAAAGCAGGAAGAAAAAGTATTAAAACAAAAACTGGTTCTCTGAGATCAGTAGGATTGATAAACCGCTCGTCAGACTAATCAGGAAAAAAAGAAAAGATATAAGTTACCACCATCAAGAATGAGAAAAGTTACACCACTACATTCAACATCCTAAAGGAATAATAAGGCAATAGTATAAACAACTTTCTGCCAATGAATTTGACAACTTAGGTGAAACAAATTCCATTAATGACAAGCTACCAAACCTCACCTAAGAAAAAACAGGCCAGGCGTGGTGGCTCACACCTGTAATCCCAGCACTTTGGGAGGCCGAGGCGGGTGGATCACGAGGTCAAGAGATCGAGACCATCCTGGTCAACATGGTGAAACCTCGTCTCTACTAAAAATACAAAAAATTAGCTGGGCATGGTGGCGCATGCCTGTAATCCCAGCAACTCAGGAGGTTGAGGCAGGAGAATTGCCTGAACCCAGGAGGCGGAGGTTGCAGTGAGCTGAGACCACGCCATTGCACTCCAGCCTGGATAACAAGAGGGAAACTCTGTCTCTATAAAAAAAAAAAACAAAACTTAGCCGGGCCTGGTGGCATGCACCTGTAATCCCAGCTATGCAGGAGGCTGAGGCAGGAGAATCACTGGAACCCATTAAGCAGAGGCTGCAGTGAGCCAAGATTGTGCCACTGCACTCCAGCCTGGGCGACAGAGCAAGACTCTGTCTAAAAAGAACAACAACAACAAAACCAGAAAATAGGTTACCTGGCCAGACATGGTAGCTCAGGCCTTTAACCCCAGTGATTTGCAAGGCTGAGGTAAGAGAACTGGTTGAGTCCAGGAGTTCAAGACCAGCTTAGGAAACATAGTGAGACTCTTATCTCTACCAAAAAAATAAAATTATTAAATTAGCCAGGCATGGCGTGGTGGCACATACATATAGTCCCACCTACCTGCGCACTGAAGTGGGAGGATCACCTGAGCCCAGGAGGCAGAGGTCACAGTGAGCCATAATTGTACCACTGCACTCCAGCTTGGGCAATAGAGTGAGACTCTGTCTCAAAAAATAGAAAAAATTAACCAGTCATGGTAGCACACACCTGTAGTCTCAGCTACTGGGGAGGCTGAAATAGGAGGACTGTTTAAACCCAGGAAGTTGAGGTTGCAGTGAGCTATGATTGTGCCACTGTACTATAGCCTGGGCAACAGAGTAAGGCCCTGACTAAAAAAGAAAAAGAAAAAATATTGAATCTATAGTTGAAAACCTTCCCACAAAGAAAACTTCAAACCCAGATGGCTTCACCAACGAATTCTACCAAACATTTAAGAAATAATACCAATTCTAGATAAATTCTCCTAGAAAACTGAAAAAAAAGGAATACTTTCTAACTCATTCTATGAAACTAGCATTATCACAATACCCAAACCAGAAAAAGGGATTAGAAGAAAACTACATACTTAGATCCCTCATGAACACGGATGCCAATTTTTTTTAATTTAGCAAATAAATCTAGCAATATATGAACAGAATAACACATTATAACCAAGTGGCAAAGCTAGTTTCACATTCAAAAATCAATCAATGTAATTGATCATATTAACAAACTTCAAAAAATTATTTCAATAGGTGCAGAAAAAATTATATTTGACAAAATCCAATATACGTTCCTGAAAAAACTCTCAGCAAACTAAGAATGGAAGGGAACTTCTCAAACTTACAAAGGATATCGGTTAAAATCTACAACTATCATTATACTGGTAAAAGAATGAATGTATTTTCCCTAAGATCAGGAACAAGACCAAAATGTCCACTCTCACCTCACCACTTCTAGGCAACATTTCCTGGAGGTTCTAGCCTCCAGGTGCTATCAGGTAACAAAAAGAAATTAAAGGCATAAAGATTAGAAAGAACAAAGTAAAAACTGTCTTTACTTGCAGACAACATATTCTTATATGTGGAAAATCCTACAAATTTTACAAAAATAAACTATTAGAATTAATAAACAAGTTTAGCAAAGTTGCAGGATACAAGGTCAATATACAAAAATCAACTGTGGGTACTAAGACGGCAATCATCAAAAAGACAATAACAAGTGCTGACAAAGATGTAGAGAAATCAGAAACCTCACACAGTGCTGATAGGAATATAAAATGGTGTAGCCACCATAGAAAAGTTCAGCAGCTCCTCAAAACATTAAACAGAGTTACCATGCAAGCCAGTAATTCCACTCCTAGGTATATACCCAAGAGAAACTAAACATATGTTCACACAAAAATCTGTAAAAGAATGTTTGAAGTAACATTATCTGTAACAGCTAGAAAATAGGAACAACAAATGGTCACCAACTAATAAATGGATAAACAAAATATATCTATACAGTATTATTCAGACATAAAAATTCATTAAAATGAAGTGCTGATATATGTTACAATAGAGATGAAACTTGAAAACATTGTAAGTGAAAGAATCATTCACAAAAGGCCATATAGCATACATTCCATTTATAGAAAATGTCCAGAATAGGCAAACTCATAGATATAGATAATAAATTAGTAGCTGCTGGGTTGGGAGAAGGGAGGTGGTAATGGATTGGGAGTGACTGACTGATAATGGATATAGGGTTTCTTTTTGGAGTGGTAGAAATGTCCTGGAAACAGATAGCAGTGACAGCTGTACGACATTGTAAATGCACTAAAAACTTATGAATTGTAAAACTGTAAAATGGTTAAAATCATAAATTTACATATTTGAATTTTATCTCAATTAAAAACCCACCTAAAAAAAATCAATTTTTTTTTTTTTTTTTTTTTTTTTTGAGAAGGAGTCTTGTTCTGTCACCCAGGCTGGAGTGCAGTGGCACGATCTCAACTCACTGCAACCTGTGCCTCCTGGATTCAAGTGGTTCTCTTGCCTCAGCCTCATGAGCAGCTGGGATTACAAGGATGAGCCACCGTGCCCAGCCAAGAAATCAATTTCATCTCTATATATTAGTAACATACAATCCAAAATTGAAATTATGAAAGCAATTCTATTCACAACAGCATAAAAAAACTTACGAATAATCAAAACAAGCGCAAGACTTGTACACTAAAAGCTACAAAATACAAATGAGGGAAATTAAGATATAAATAAATGGACAGAAGCTGGACATGGTAGCTGACACGGGTAATCCCAGTGCTTGGAAAGGCCTAAGCAGAAGATTGCTTGGGTCTAGGAGTTTGAGATCTGACTGAGCAACACAGCATAACCCTGTCTTTACAAAAACAAAAAAATTAGCCAGGCATGGTGGTGCCCAGCTGTAGCTCTAGTTACTCAAGAGGCAGAAGCAAGAGGATAGCTTCAGCTGAGTTCAAGGCTGCAGTGAGCTATGATTGCACCACCGCACTCCAGCCTGGGCAACAATGCAAGACCTTGTCCAAAATTAATTAATTAATGTTTCAATGTTTCAGATGGAGAGAAGTATCATGTTCATAAATTGGACTCATTACTGTTAGAATAACAATTCAACACAATCCCTATGAAAATCCTAGAAGGATAAACTTCAAAAACATTTGATGTGGAAAAAAAAAACATAAGAAAGATGACATATTATATGACATGACTGATACGAAATTTCAAGAAAAGGCAAAACTATAGTGACAGAAGGCAGATCAATGGTTGCTTGGGGGTGGGTCTGCAAACGGGCACAAAGTAACTTTTGGGGATGACAGGAGTGTTCTAAAGCTGGATTGCGATGATGGTTTCACAACTCTATATTTTACTACACTCACCAAACTGCAAAGCTGCAATAGGTGAATTCATGGCACATTAATTATGTCTCAATAAGGGTGTTTTTAAAAAGTAAACTATATACTCACCATTGTAGCCTTCAAGTACAGAATCAATAATAGGTCTTGCAGTTAAGTTATAAACATCAAGTTGTTTACTCTCTGGTCCAAAAACAGTATCAAAAGTAAATGTCTTCGGAGGTTCATTGGAAGAATCAGTCTTATGTACAGTGATAGTTCCCCTCATCTCATCCACACTGACAGCTTGTTTGTAGCACATTGATTTCTCTCTCTCATTGAGGGGCCGGCACCGAACAACAACCTTCACATTATCGCAGCTTTCTGGCTTCTCTGATTTATTGATCTGTTGAAGATATTTACAAATAATGAAAAGAACATTTATTTTTACCCTCAGCAGATTAAATTTACAAATTTTAAAAGGCTACTTTGCCACCTTAGTGCCTTGCACACATTAAACACTTTGTATTTGTTAAAAGCAATTAAAGATCTTACATGTAGATGAAAAGTTTATTAAAAGGTACAAAAAGGAAAAAAGTTTCTCTTAAAATATAAAAGAAGGGAGAGAAAGTTTAGTTTACATCTGCGACAAAAGCTGTATAAGCAGAAACAATCAATATATTATAGATTGTCTTTCTACACAAGTCTCTGACCCTGAGTTTCCTGCCTGTAGGAAACACATGTGAACATAGTTAACAACTTTAACTCAAGAATATAGTAGATCCTTTGTTTCCCCTGAGACTTCTAGTTGTATTTCCTATAATGCATCCGTAAAATGGTTTTTATCATTTCCTATAATGCATCTGTAAAATGGCTTCTCTACAGAAGACAATAAGATAAAGATAGAAAAAAAGTTTAAACGGCAAAGAAAAATGCCTTAGTATGACCTCAACTTATGAGCATTTGTATATATAAAGTTTCCATTTCTGAATTTTTTTTTCTTTTTTTGAGACAGTGTCTCACTCTGTCACCCAGGCTGCAGTGCAGTGGCACGATCTCAGCTCACTGCAACCTCCACTTCCCAGGTTCAAGTGATTCAGCTGTCTCAGTCTTCCAAGTAGCTAGGATTACAGGTGCCCGCCACTATGCCTGGCTCATTTTTGTATATTTAGTAGAGATGGGGTTTTATTATGTTGGCCAGGCTGGTCTCAAACTCCTGACCTCAAGTGATCCACCCACCTTGGCCTCCCAAAGTGCTGAGATCACAGGCGCGTGCCACTGTACCTGGCCATTTCTGAAATTTTATGATTAAGAAAAAATGATGAAACACAATCCTATTATCGAAAAGGACAGTTTAGTTGAACAGATACTTGTTAAATTCCTACTGTTTCAGATTCTCTTCTAAGCCTTAAAGAGAAACAACATAAACCATTGTCACTGACTTTGACGTTGTCATTGACAAATAACAGATTACATCAATACAATCGCACTTCTATCTCTGCCTTCATCACCCTAGTCTAAATCGCCATCATCTTGGCCCTGGATTACTGACTCCTAACTATACTCCTGAATCTAATTACATTCCCCTACTGCCTGTTCTCCACATAGCACTCAGTGTCAACACAAATCTAATCATGTCACCCTCCTACTTAAAAATTCTTCAGTGGTTTCCCATAGATCTCAGACAAAAACCAGAACCCTTAAGGTGGTCTGTAAGATCTGGCTTCCAGCCATGTCTGCTTCTCTGGGCTTATTTCACAAGATACTCTCCCTGGCTCATCCATGCCACAGCCACACTGAGCTTCTTGGCCTTTTCTTGTCATCATGCTCCTCACCACTGGACTTTTCTATGTGCTGTTCCTTCTGCCTAGAACCTTCTTCAATCCCTGCTTCACTTAGTAACATCTACGTATCCTTCAGAATTCAACAGCCACTTCACCTGGGAAGACTTCCTGACTACTTCAAATACTCTTATAGGCTCAGAAAGCCCCCTGCTCTCCCCTTCCTGGACACAATTTTACTTTCACTTGCTCCTTATTTGATTAATGTCTTTTTCTCTGTCTACACCAGAGGTTGCAAACAGGTAGTCAAGAGGCTAAATTCGGTCCACAAATTTCCTTTATTTGGTTCACAGTATTTAAAGCGCTTTTGAATTAGTTGCTAAAATTGAGAACTTTCACTAAAACAATCCCTAAAGTCTCTTCTTGGGAGGAAAAAAAAAAAAACAAATACTCTGAAATCATCTGCAGACCATCATTCTCACATGGCAATACTTTCCAATTTACCAGTATCTACTTCCCTCTATTGTAGGATATCCAACCACTTTATTCATTAAGGTTATGTGTCTTATCTCTGTAAATATGTATGGTTTTCACCTCTGCCCAAGAAGGCAAGCCTCTCTCTTTCCAAGGTCAAGAACCTGATTGGTTTTGCTCAATATTGCATCTTCAGAGCCTAGCATGTGGTTGGTGCCCAGTATTTATTGAATTAAAAACGTGAAAGCAATGAACAGGAACAAATATAGAGCATTTAACCCTAAATGTTAAGCACTGTCCTTCTAGTCTCCTGTGCATTATCTTATTTCACCTGGCTAACAAGAAGCCCATGAGGAAAAGTTTATGTGGGAACTAAGCACCCACACAGATTAATTATCTGAGGCCTCACAACCACTAAATAAGCGGCCATGGCTCAATTTTCCTCCATGACCCCTAATAAGGCGTCTTACAAGGCCCCATTATTAAGTTCACGATAACAATCTGTGAAATCTTGTAAGATAAACACACCACCACCACCACCACACAAAGACACCTTTGAGTTTCATTCTGCACCATAAGCTAAAGCGCCTCAAGAGGACTGACAGCTAGCTCGAGGCTATGAGTCGGAGTCTGCGGCCTGGAAAAGGGGCAGCCTTCGCTTAGTCGCCTCCCTGAGCCTGTTCTGCGCAAAGGCCCCACGAGGTGCGGGGCATCCAAAGAGACGCTCCGCGGCCAGCCCGAGACGCCCCACTCAGCAGGCAGGGATGCGAGCCAGAGCGCATCCTCCAGTTCAGCGCCTTTTTGATAAGCGATGCAGGCCCCACGGAACGCAGCAGCCACAAAGGCGGCAGGGCCTGCCCCTAGGCCCCTCTCGAGGCCCTCCGGACCCCGGCGGCTCCGGGGCTGACCAGCCAGGTTCTCCAACCACCCAGACCGCACGGCCGGGCCTGCCCCGCCCCACCCTGGCCGCCCGCCTGCTCCGCGCCTCCATGGCAACGGCCGCGCCCCCGGGCCAGGCAGCTGGGATGAGAAGAAACCCCAGAGATAAAGCGACTCTCCTCACCGGCATCGTGGCCCCTTCCCGTGCCCGGCGGACGAACCCGCCTGCAGTGCAGCCCAACGACACCGGGTGCGCAGAAAGACTGGCCAGAGACTACCGAAACACCTCCCCGATGCTCTCGAGACTGCGGCTCCTCCGGCGAGAGTGCCCAGTGCGCAGGCGCATTCCGAGCTCGCCCCGCCCCAACGCCTGTCTCAGGCTCACTCCGCCCTTGAATTACGCCTGCGCTGGGGCTTTCGGAGTCCATCTCCTAGGACGCCAGACTGAGGCCGCGCGTGCGCAATGCTGCCATTCTGCTGCGCTGGAAACGTGGCCCGCACTGAGGCGGAGATACCTACCTGGTAGCCCCGGGTTGGCAAGAGGAGCAGCTCCTAGATCTCAAGGCCCGTCTTCTGGCGCTTGCAATACCCGGAATATTAAAATTAATAATAGCAATTGTACATTTTGTCTCATCCGAAGACCTAAAGACCTTACCTACCTGACCTCTCTTGATTGCTAATTTCCTCATGACCTGTCTTACCATTAGAAAGTGAGCTCTTGCCAGTCGCAGTGGCTCACGCCTGTAATCCCAAAACTTTGGGAGGCTGAGGTGAGCGGATCACCTGAGGTTGGGAGTTCGAGACCACCCTGACCAACATGGAGAAACCCCATCTTTACTAAAAATACAAAATTAGCCGGGCGTGGTGGCGCATGCCTGTAATCCCAGCTACTTGGGAGGCTAAGACAGGAGAATCGCTTGAACCCGGGAGGCGGAGGTTGCAGTGAGCCGAGATTGTGCCCTTGCACGCAAGCCTGGGCAACAGGAGCTAAACTACATCTCCAAAAAAAAAAAAAGAAAGAAAGAAAAGAAGGAAAGAAAGTGAGCTCTTAAGGAGCCTGTAAGTATTCTCGCATGTATCTCCAGAGCCTACACAGAGCCTAGCACACAATGGGATTTTCATACATGTTGGTCAGAAAACCAATGATCCGTCCATCCTCTTTCTAGTCCACTTGAATATGTAATGGGCATTTCAAGTTAACCATGTCCAGAATTGAAATCTTGATCCCCCATCTCAATCTCCCCACAACCCCACTCTACCCCTATCAAAAAAAATTAAAAAGGGCTCCCTCTCATCTCTCTCAGACTTCCTTCATCTCAATGTATGGAAACGTAATTCTGACAATTGCTCAGATCAAAACTGCAGTCTCTTTCACACACAATATTCTATCTTTCAATAGCTCCTGTTGTATCTGTCTTCGTAGTGGAACCAGAATTTGGCCACTTCTACCACCACCACCGTGCCTCACATGTATTACGGCAATAGCTCAGAGCTGGTTTCCTTGATTGTGTCCTTGTCCCCTTTCAGTGTGTTGGACAGGAGCCAGAGTGCTCGTGTTAAAAATGAATCAGATCTTCTCTCTTCTCTGCTCAAAACCCTCCATTGATTTCCCATCTCACAAAGCTAAAGCCACAAGCCCTACAATCCTCCCTCTTGCTTCTTCTGCACCAGCCCCACCTGACCTCCTTGCTTCCTCCAACATTCCTGGCATGCTTCCATCTGAGCATGCAAGTTCTGTGAGCTTGCAGTAGGAACTGATGAAAATAACTATATAGCATTTTACGTAGTGACAGTGTACTGTTCTACATGTTTTACTTTCTTTTTTAATTCATTTAATCCACATAATAACCTTTTGAAATAGATACTATTATTATTTACAGATAAAGTAAAATGAGGTACAGGATTATTAAATAACTTTTCCAAGGTCATACGTATGAACAGTGACAGAGCCCAGATCCAAACCCAGGCAGCCCAGAAAGCTCTTTCCCTAAGTAACCACCTGACCCACTCACCTCCTCCAGAAAGTCTTTGTTCACATGATACCTTCCCAGTGAACCCTAACATGATTTCCCTATTTAAAATTTCAACCCTCAGCACCAATTCTTTTTCCCTCCCTACTTTATTTTTCTCCATAGTACTTATCACGATTCAATATTTTGTATATATATACACACATACAAGCTTTACTGAGATATAATTTACACATCATATCATTCAGTTCACCACTTTAAATTGTACAAGTCAATAGTTCTTACAACATATGGAGTTGTGCAACCATAACCTAGAACATTTTTATCATTCCAAAAAGACGCTCTATACTCATAAACCACTCCCCCTTGGTCTCTGCAACCCTGCTCCCACCCTGCTCCCAACATCCCAGCCCTAGACAGCCATCAGTCTACTTTCTATCTCTATGGATTTGCCTATTCTGGACATTTCATACAAATGAAATTACACAATATGCAGCCTTTTGTGAGTAACTTCTTTCACTTTCAATAATGTTTTCAAGCTTTATCCCTATTGTAGCATATATCAACAATTTGTTGCTTTTTATGGCTGAATAATATTCCATTGTATGGCTATAACATGTTTTTTACCTGTCATTGGATATCTGGGTTGTTTCTCCTCTTCGCCTATAATGAATAATGCCGCTACAAGTTTTTGTATCGACCTATGTTTTCATTTCTCTTGGTTGCGTATCTAGAAGTAGAACTGCTGTATCATTTGGTAATGCTAATGTTTAACATTTCGAGGAAATACCAAGTTGTTTTCCACAGTAGTGCACCATTTTAAATTCCCACCCGTAATGTGTATGTAAGGTTTACAATTTCTCCACATCCTTGCTAACACTCACTTTTGTGTAAAGTAGTATCTTGCTGTAGTTTTTATTTATTTTCACTTCCCTGATTATAATGATGGTGAGCATTTTTTTCATATGCTTTTGCAATTTGGATAACTTCTTTGGAGAACTGTCTATTCAAACCCTTTACCCGTTTTATTTGTCTTTTCATTATTAAGTTATAAGAGTTTTTTATATATTCAGAAGGCAAAGCCCTTTTCAAGTATATGACATGCAAATATTTTCCCCCATTCTGAGGGCTTTCTTTTTACTTTATTGCTATCATCCTTTGAAGCACAGTTTTAAATTTTGATCAAGTTCAATTTACGTATTTTTTTCTTTTGTCACTATGTTTTTGGTGCATATGTAACCCATATTTCCTAACCTAAGATCATGAAGATTTACTCTTCTAAGAGTTTCATAACTTTTGCTGTCACATTCAGGTCTATGATCTATTTTGAGGTTTTTTGTTGTTTTTTGAGATGGAGTTTCACTCTTGTTGCCCAGGTTGGAGTGCAATGGCGCAACCTCCACCTCCCGGGTTCAAGCGATTCTCCTGCCTCAGCCTCCGGAGTAGCTGGGATTACAAACAAGCACCACCATGCCCGGCTAATTTTGTATTTTTAGTAGAGATGGGATTTTTCCATGTTGGTCAGGCTGGTCTTGAACTCCTGACATCAGGTGATCCACCTGCCTTGACCTCCCAAAGTGTTGGGATTACAGGTGTAAGCCACCATGCCCAGTCCTGTTTTGAGTTATTTTTGTATACGGTGTGATGGAGGGATCCACATTCATTCTTCTGCATGTGAATATCCAGCTGTCCCAGAACCATTTGCTGAAAAGACTATTCTTGTCTATAGCCATACCACCCTGAATGAGCCTGATCTTGTCTGAAAAAAAACTGTTCTTTACCCCATTGAACTGGCACCTTTGTTAAACTGATCATAAATATGAGCATTGATTTCTAGACTCTCAGTTCTAGTCCGTCGATGTATATAGTCCATCCTAATAGCAGTACCACACTGTCTTGACTAGTGTGTGTTTGTGGTAAGGGTTGAAATTAGATAGTGTGGGGCCTCCAACCTTTCTCTTTTTCAAGATTGTTTTGGCCATTTTGAATCCCTTGAATTTCTATAAAAATTTCAGGAACACTTTGTCAATATCTGCAAAAAGACAGCTGGAATTTTAACAGGGATTATGTAAAATATGTAGATTAATTTGGAGAGTATTGCCATTTTAACAATTTAAGTCTTCCTACCCATGAATGCAGAATGTCTTTCTATTTATTTAGGCTTTCTTTCATTTCTTTTAGTGACGTTTTGTAGTTTTCAATGTACAAGTTGTACATTTTTTGATTCTATTAATATTTTTCCCCAATTCTTTTTTCTTGAGATGGAGTCTCACTCCTTCACCCAGTCAGGAGTACAAAGGTGTGATCTCAGCCCACTGAAACCTCCACCTCCTGGGTTCAAGAGATTCTCTTGCCTCATCTTCCTGAGTAGCTGGGATTACAGGCACGTGCCACCATGCCTGGCTAATTTTTGTCAGAAGTTTTTTATTCTTTTTATGTTGATGTAAATGAAACTATTTTTAAAATTTCATTGTCAGATTATTCATTATAGTGTATAGAAATAAAATTGACATTTATAGTACATTGATTTTATACTCTGCAACTTTCCTAAACTTCTTTTAAGTGGATTCCTTAAGATTTTCTATATACAAAATCATATCATCTGCAAATAAAGATGAAATTATTTCTTTCCCACCTGGATGCTTTTTCTTGCATAATTGCTCTGGCTAGACCCTGCTGTACATTGTTGAAAAGAACTGGTGAAAGCAGATATTCTTGTCTTATTGATGACTTCAGGTGAAAAGCATTTGGTCATTTACCATTAAGTCTGATGTTAGCTGCAGGTATTTCATAAATTGCGCTTTATCACGCTGGAAAATTTTCTAGTTTGTGAAGTGTTTTTTATTATGAAAAAGTGTCAGATTTTCTCAAATGCTTTTTCTAATATAATGTGTTTATGATCAAATACATATTGATTTTTAGATGTTAAAACCAACCTTTCTTTTCTGACAGTCTCTGTCTTTTGGTTAGAGCATCAGGGTGATACTTGCCTCACAGAATAAGCTGAGGATAGGGAGCAAGTTCTTCTTAGAAGGGGACTAATTCCATCACAAGGGTCTCACCCTCACGATGTCTGAGAGCCTGAATTTCCTCCCAAAGGCTTCATCTCTAAATACCATCACATTGCAGGTTAGGGTTTCAAAATATCAATTTGCAACAGGGTGAGGTGGTTCGCTACTGTAATCTCAGCACTTTCGGAGGCTAAGACAGTTGGATCACTTGAGGTCAGGAGTTCAAAACCAGCCTAGCCAACATGGCTAAACCCTATCTCTACCAAAAATACAAAAATTTAGCTGGGCATGGTGGCGCATGCCTGTAGTCCCAGCTACTCAAGCGGCTGAGGCAAGAGAATCACATGAATCCAAGAGGCCGAGGTTTCAGTGAGCTGAGATGGTGTCACTGCACTCCAGCCTGGATGACAGAATGAGACTCTTGTCTCAAAAACAAAAAACAGACAAACAAATATGAATTAGGAAGGGACACAAACATTCAGTCCATAACACAGCCCTAGCAGACTTAATACAATTGTTTAATCCATTCACATTTAACATTATTGATAATGTTAGATTTAAGTCTCCCATTTTCCCACTTTGCTTTTTGTTTTCCCTCCCTCCCTCCCGTGCTCTCTCCCTCCCTCCTTCCCCATCTCTTTCTTTCTCCTTCCTTCCTTCCTTCCTTCCTTCCTTCCTTCCTTCCTTCCTTCC